AAGTACAAAATTCCATGAAAACCCAAGTTTTACATATCTTATCAATTAACTCACGGAAATACAACAAGGTTTAAACAACCTTGCTCATTGAAATCAGAGAAGGAAAAAAAAAGCCAAACTTTACACACGCTATGTATTACGTACGGAGTATATAATGATCAACAGGTTTTGCTTAGCTCCCTAGAAAAAAAAAATTAAAAAAAAGAAAAAAGCATTAGTTCAAAGCTTGGGCTTATGAGGAGGGCATTGATAGCACTTGGCAAAAAGGCCAAAAGTGTTGACTTGCTGTATGAAATTCATCATGCTGGCCCACCCACCAAGCCCAAACCCTACCACAAACACCCACACCACTACGAATATGTTGATGCTGTACATTCCTGCCCACCCTCCTAGGAATGATGGCGGTCTCTCCACTGCGTTCTGTTCAATATATATTCACCATTTAACTTATTAATTAACTGTTACTTGGACTAGTATTATTATAAACTGCACATATATATATATATATATATATATATATATATATATATATATATATATATATATATATATATATATATATATATATAATGATTTACCTCGCGAGCGGCTGCTGGTGCAAAAGTAATCATATGAGCCATGGCCGGAATTATATATACAGTGAAACTAACCAATAGTGATCCAACTGTTGAATTGATTGGTCCGAAGAAAGGGAAAACAATGGCTAAAAACCATATCGGGATCACCACCGGAAGCCTCGCCAATGACCGCTTCATAATGCTATTTGTTTCATGCACGCCTAAGAATTTCTCCCACACGAAATATAGAGGAGTGCAAGCGAATCCGAATGTTATGAACTGCACAATTAAGCAACATGCATTATTTAATTGAATTAATTGAATTGAATTGTATGCTGTTATGCCAAAGCTAATTAATTAACATATTACTGATCGTTCTGACGTGATCAAACCTGATGTATTAACATGAGGACAATAGCAGTGTCCCTAAAACCAGTCCTAGGAAGTAAAGAGAAGGCATTGGAATGATCAAGTAGCATGTCTCCGAATGCCCAATACACTGCACTTGCTGATGGCAGGGTCAGAGTTAACACATACAATGTTGCCAACAAATATATCAGCTTGAACTTTTGTGGTTTCCACATCGCATGCATTATTTCTCTGCATTCATTCAGTAGCTTTATAGTTAATATTAATCAAATATCTTCCTAAGTTGATAAAACAATTAATTGGTACGGAGTAATAAAAAACTTACACAGTGACCGCATGGCCACCAAAAGTGTAGAGAATGTTGGTTGCACCCGTGAAGTATAGAACCAACTTGGCGGGGCCGGAGTGTTTTACTCCGTCTACCTTAGATTATCATTTTAACAAAAACAGAAGATAATAAAATTCATCAGGTCAGCCAATTAAATCAATATGCAGCACTAGCTGCAGATGAAAATTGGGAATATAAATACCTGGCCATGGAGGAGAGACGCAATAGTGAGATACCAGGCAGTATATGTGGTCATGATAAGGCCTAGAAATGACCATATTCTGTAATTGTGGAAAGATGGTATGAACACTGTCGTCGCACAGCAGGCACCAAATATATATGTCCATGTTCTCTTGTCCAGGCTATCATTTATGTAGTATATATTGCTGCACATTTATTTTTTTTATCATAACAACATATTATCATGATGTTATCAATGATCTTATAATTACTAGTTTAAAATTGTTTCACTTTTATCAAATTCAGTAGATAAAGTAAAGCAAGAAGCAGACTGACCTAGCACAAGCAATAAGCTGGATGACAGATCCAAATAAAAGGAAAGTGCAATTGAAGAATAGGCCAATATTTCTCCAATGTTTCCCAAGTAATCCATCAAGCACTTCAAACCACTGCATTCATTCAATCAATCGATATAAATGTAAAATTAGGTAGCAAAAAAGAGAATTGATCATAAGTATACCTCTGAATCATAAAGGTTATAAAAAAGAAACCTGAATAACGTGGTTCCTAAAATCAACTTTTTCTCTCTCTTTTCTGGTTCTGTACTCCACGTAGAGTAAACTGATAAGGTAAGCAGTCCAGCTACCCATGAAGCCGTAGAAGAGTTGGAAAAGTATTCCAGATAACATCCCGAGTTGTGAGAATGAGTATGGTAGTGTTAGTAGTACTTGTGCAACCTGCAGTGCGTGGCATAGTAGTAGTAGTAGTAGTAATTAGTATGTAATATAAAGGTGTGAGCTCGTTGGGTTAATTAATAACACTAGTAAATATATAATTGTAGGTACCTGGTTGGAAGAACAGCTAAACCATGCATCATAAACAGAGCCACCATGCCATAAAAAGTTGGAAAGCTTGGTCTTAATGGAACAAGACTCTTCCGGACCTTCTTCTCTCTCCATTTCGACATAGTTCCCAGCTACCACTGTCTCCACCTTCTCTGAAGCCATATATGATATATCCAATCCGATCCTACTATATCTTTATATACTGGCCTGGTATCAAAATAGAGTTAACTAAGTTTAGTTGCTGATCTATATATATGATCACACAAATCAAATTGATAATAATTATTAAGAATATAGAGTAAGCTAATAGGAAGGAGTAGGAGGACTTAAGTACTCATTCTAGCTTACGAAGGAATGTGAAAGGAGCAGCTTCTTAAAAGGACTTTTACTAGAGAGGAGCAATGATTAGCTCGCTTAGTTTCTTTGCTCACTTCAATCTTCCTCTATTATTATTATGAGCTCGTCTTGTGTGTGGCGCGGACTACATAATGTGACCGGTGCGAATTAATTCCACTTTGAAGGAGGGGCGGATGAGGTTCGAACCCGTGACCTTTGTGTCACGCTGACTCCGATACCATGGTAATGGACTAACTCAACCAAAAGCTTAAGCTGATGGTTGATATCAATTATTATTATTATTATTATTTTAAAAAGGTGTTTGTTCGCCATGTATGTATGAATGTATGGGATCATCCTCTCATTTGATTGGTAGTTGATATAGTATTGTCCCCATCTCCCACACACTCTCTTGTTACCTAGCCGCGGCCATCCAACCAACATTTTTTTTTAATTTCCTTTTCCTCTTATTCAGGTTCTCTGTTTGGGTCACTCTCGCATGCAACCCCACGAGCGGGATGTCTCACTATCACGCCGCTTTAAGCTATCAATCCCCATGAACTCTTTTTATTTTTAACTTCATTAATATTAATATTCAATTTTATAATCATAATACACTATGACTAATTATATTCAAACTTACAACTACTACAAAGATGAAAACACCCTCCAACTAATACAAACAAGATACAATACATTCAAGATATCGTGTCCAACACCAATACGGCCGCAATACATGCATGGATCGGATATATCTAAATTTGTGTTGAACATGATTAAAATTAAATCTTCTACTTGTATAGTTTTTAAAATTTTAAAAATTAAAGATGTAATACAAATACCTTTATATAATAAGGATGCATAGTAATTGGAGTACGTATTATGGTAATAACCCATAAATTAAAAATAGAAATGATCAAGGGGAAGATTAATGATGAAGTGAGAGGTTAATAATAATGTTGATGTAAAAAATGGAAGAAATGATTAAGAGGGGTGGGCTTGGTGCTTATCATGATTAGCATCACACGTGTGCCAACTGGCTGGCTTTACAATAAAAGAGAAGAAAGGGCTAATTTAATTAGCGAGTGTGCAGTGTATTTATCTAAGCTAGGGCCAGGCTATGCAACTAATCTCCGTAATAATTAGGGTATATGTAAGATCGATGTTGATTAATATAAATCGGTGAGATTGTTTAATCAAGCTAAGGCCAAATTAAAGGACGATATATCATATTCATATATAGATGTTGAAGAGCCCTTTCCACGACCTGAAAGAACATTTGGTTGCTCCCTAGCTTAGCTAGCTCGTCTACTTTATTTATTTATACATAAATTGATGATTTCTCTCTACTTTGTGCCGGTGCGTGGTGGGAAATGCATAATCATTACTTTAATAACCCTATACCAAAAACAAGATGTAGTTTACTTAATTGATTACAATTTTACAAAGCTTCAGACATCATGAAGTAGCCAAGGCTAAACTTCAATAACTGTATATGAGCAATAGGACATATATATGTCACAATGCAGGAGATAACGATATTTGGTATTTTATGCTTGGAGCGTTTTCATTTATCACCACATCAAATCATCAATCATAATAGTAATCATCTTCATTTTTGGCTAACTTTTGCCTCACATCCACCACACCACCGCTTATAACTACCACTTTCTCAACATCTTCACCTTTAGAATAGTCTCAATTACCCTATTATGGATTTTTCTTATTGGCGTATGACATGTGTTATTTGCTAAACAGTAGACTAATTAGAAGACTCTATTGAACATCACTCAAACTTGTTATTACTCAATTCCGTAATAGAGATTTAGAGATGTGTATGTGTTATATAGTTCTCATTCGGCCAGTTCACCCATACTACAAGTAATGTAACACTACAATAGGTAATTTGTGTGATCATAATTAGCTCTCTATAGTTTTTCCTTCTCTTAAGTCAAATAGATCATCATATTTCATCACGTACATTCTTTTTGAATTTTGGAAGAATCATAAATAAAGCCTAAAAAAAGAATGGACGTGTGTGGAATAAATCTATAAGAAATCGAATCCAGATTAAGTAGACTCTTTGGGGCATATAATCAAGCCCAATTATACTGATTTTATTTACAAGTACGACTAAACAAAAGCCCAGCCCAAAGTATATATTGAAGGGCGGTCCAAATGTCTTGTTGTGAAGAGATCCCCTGCATTATTAATTAACAGCATCACATGAAAGCAAGCAAGAAAGAAAAGAACCAAACACAACTTGCTTCCAAAGAATGGATAAAGAATCACCCTAATTTAATTAGTTAGATTAATTAATCATCAGACAACAGGGCTGCTCTGCATAAAGCTAATGGGATAGTCTTGCCTTTTGAATTCAGATTAGATGGATGCTTCTACTATTCACGTATTCCTAGCTTCTTTATCATTGCCGTACATTTATGATATAAATCAATCAACCCATGCATAAATCATGCAATTCCAACTGTAGGATATTATGGACACTAAACCAATTTCATTTTTTGTATTTATTTTCTTCCTTATTTCTCAAGGTATGTAAAACTTTCAATATCTATTTATGATCACTTGATTAATTATTTATGTATGTACGTACAATATAATTCAAATATTTATGTTAATAATATAAATCTAGGAAGCTGGATAAAAACAGAAGCAGCAAGAATATTCACCATCAAAAACGATTGTAAAGAGACCATATGGCCCGCTGTAACCCCTGGCCAAAGCTTCCAAGGAGGAGGATTCACCTTAAAACCGGGCCAATCCATGGTATTTAATGCCCCCGTAGGATGGTCAGGACGAATATGGGGCCGAACTGGTTGCGACTTTGGTCGAGAAGGCAACGGCACCTGCCTCACTGGGGCATGCGGCACATCCCTGAAATGTGGTGCCGCGGGGAAGCCACCGGCAACCTTAGCGGAGTTCACACTAGCAAAAGTAGACTTCTACGACGTGAGCCTTGTGGACGGGTTTAACATCCCCATGGCAGTGAAGCCCCTAAACGGTGTAGGGAATTGCACAATTGCGGGGTGTGATGAAGACCTTAGGAGGAACTGCCCCAAGGAGCTTTCTGTAAAGTCCCCTGATCACGGCCGGGAGACGGTTGCATGCCGGAGTGCATGCGATGTTTTCAACACGGATGACTATTGTTGCAGGGGTGTTTATGGGAATCCGGTGACATGCCATCCTAACTATTATTCCAAGTTATTCAAACAAGCATGCCCTGCTTCTTATAGTTATGCTTATGATGATCCTACCAGCATTTTTACCTGTTCTGGGACTGATTATGTCGTCACATTCTGTTCTTCCATGTACGTAACTGTCCAATTCTTTTGTTCAATAATGCTTTTTTTATTTTGTTCAATAATTCTTTTGTCCAGTTCTTTTTGCTTGGATTTATTTGAGCTTTTATATCTATCTTTTATTTGTACAGGTCTCAGCCTGTGTGTACATACCATAACAACAAACTCATTTGCAGTAGCGGATCTATGGGATTCAAATCATTGCTCAGTAGATGCCTGTCACTCACCGTTGCTCTATTATTTCTAGTAACTTTGTGGAGTAACTTGTAAAATTCACCTTTTGTTTGTAACTTTGATTCTGTTTTTTTTTTTGAAACTCCAACAGTATGTACAATCAAGTATTTTGTATATGTATACTATCAATATTTCTATTGAAATGTTAATTATTATCCTCTCCTCCATTCGTTATTTGTATCTTAATGTTAAATTATTTTGCTCTTCAAACCTAATCCTAAATATTGAGTTTCTTCTCTTTGTATATATACATAGTATAAAAATTGAGGGTCTTTTCTCTCCTTCACATATTTAACATTTGGAATAAGATGGAATTATTTGAATTGATTGGAAAAACCATTAGGAACATGTTGTGTTAGCACGTGCCCTTGGGGCTTGGGAACACGTTATTAAAAAGAAATGAATATTTCTATTTACTTGACCTAAATTAATTAAGGAAGTAGAACTTCACATATATAATTAGGCTAATAACATCTTGCAGTAGCATTTCCTATGAAATGAAAATATATGCAGTTATGCACTAGGATATCTATCTGACCATGTTAAATCAAATGAGCAATAATTGGATTTAGCCTGTGGTTACCCAAAAATTTAAACAAATAAATTTTTATTTTAGCGTTTTATGCTCTTTGAGTTTAGTCTTTAAATTCTTAAATTTAATCTTTATGCTCTTCGATCGGGTGCATAAATTAATAATTTATTTGAACCACTATACCATAGCAGAGATTAGATAGAGTTGAATTGGTATGTGTTGATCAGGCCAATTATAAAAAAATCAAGAAGATGAAATAGCTTAAAAACAAAGTGTGTGGTGTATTAATTAAATTACTCCTATGGGCTATGGTCAAGCTACGTGAGACAGTACGTACATAGTACTTGGTTGCTAACAGTAAACGAAAGCCTTAAACCATTGAACTGGAATCTTAAGAAGTTTGTTAAGAAAGGAAAAAGACTTTATAGAGTGGTACTAGACACTAGTACTCCTTAGGGTATATTAATCTCATGGCTTAATGTTAAAAGATCCCTGGCTTTATGTGTAAAACAACTATAACTGTTATGAAGGAAAAAAGATGGAAGGGAACTTGAAGGCTAGGTTAGGTCTGGACAAAGAATCAACCAAATGTTGTTGCAAAAGCCAGGGAATGCATATTCTTATTATCCATCTTTGTCTCACGCATTCCTCCTCAGCTCCTTATTCATTCAATTCTTTTCTCCTACATTCTTTGCAATGCGATCCTTTAAATCAACCACCATTCTTCCTTCCCCAATTTCATCTCGATTAATCATGCATACAAATCCAATTTCATTCACATCTTTTGCCTTTTTTATTTTCTTCCTTCTTTCTATAGGTAATTTTTCTATTTTGTTTTTACTTAATTAGTTTTCAAGTACAAAAAACATTAATACAATGTACGTTATGAGATATAATCAATAATATTATTATGCAATTACTTATCAATGCAGGGAGATGGAGAATATCAGAGGCATCAAGAGTGTTCACACTCACAAACGATTGTAGAGAGACCATATGGCCAGCCATAATACCAGGCGACAGCTTTTTGGGAGGAGGCTTTCCCTTAAAGCAAGGCCAGTCCAGGGTCTTCACTGCTCCCATTGGATGGTCAGGCCGAATATGGGCTCGGACTGGGTGCAACTTCGATCAAAGTGGAAATGGCACCTGCGCCACTGGTGCGTGCGGCACATCTTTGAAATGTGGTGCCGCCGGTAAGCCACCCGCAACCTTAGCGGAGTTCACACTGGCAAAAGTAGACTTCTACGACGTGAGCTTGGTGGATGGGTTTAACATACCAGTGTCAATAAAACCCTTACACGGGGCAGGTAACTGCACAACTGCTGGGTGCAATCAAGACCTTAGAAAGAATTGCCCCAAGGAGTTGTCTGTTAAAGACCCTAATGATCGTAGCAAGACGGTGGCTTGCCGGAGTGCATGTGACGTGTTCGACACCGATGAGTATTGTTGTAGGGGACTTTACGGTGGTCCATCGGTTTGCCATCCTACTTATTATTCAAAGTTGTTCAAGCAAGCTTGCCCTACTTCTTATAGCTATGCTTATGATGATCCTACCAGCATTTTTACCTGTACTGGCACCGATTACATCATCACTTTCTGTTCTTCCAAGTTAGTACCAGTACCTTTTATTTCTTTATAATCTCTTTTTGACTTATCAATTATGTTTGACTAATTTCTAACTTCGTATTAATATAATTTGACTTAATTATGTATGTGTAGGTCAAAGCGTGCGTGCACGTACCATGACAATAAACTAATTTGCAGCGGTTTTAAAATGATGGACTCACATCTCAATAAATGGTGGTCTTTCATGTTTGCTCTATTATTCCTTGTAACTTTGTGAAGTATTTAATGATTATCTTGTAAAATTCCCTTTGTTCCGATCCTTTTGAACTTGGGTTTATTCATTGTAATTTTTTTGTGCCTTTTATTTTTGTTGGAATGAAGGAGGAAGGAAGTTTGTACTTGTACATGGAAAATAATAAATTGTTTGAATATCAACATGGAACCAGAGTCAGAAGACCAAACATGCATTTATATAATGGAGGTTTTTTTTTTTTTTTTTTTTTTTGGGAAGGGATTTTGTATTGGAGGTTATTTCTCATTTTGTAGATATTAATATTTATGTGGCCGGTATATGAAATGAAGTCATTTTAAGGGAAAAACTATTTAAAATAGAAAATATTTTCGATCCTTTTTTCTATAATATTGATCTTCGTATTGTTCTAGACAATAATGTCCCTCCGTTTTTATTTTTTATTTATTTTTAAACGCATCAGTTTGACCGGCACATTTGCTAAGACGTAAATTAACCAATAATATCTTTAATTGTCTGTTAGTAAAAATTGTAACAAAATGATATTGTAAAAGTAGACATTGTGACAAATCTAATAATAGCAAAAAAATTAAGTGAACCATAACATATGAATAGTGCAAAATTCAAACAAATAACTATGGTCCATGGCACCATCATTTCAGGTTAGCTCATTGGTGTAAGATGTAAATGTGAATATAAATGATACAATTGATTTTATCCTCTAAAAAAAAAAGTTGATTGTATGAAATATATCATCCTAATTAAACATTTATACCATAAGATTTCAATTACTTCGTATTTTGGTTTGGGAACATGATTGTCAAGGTCTAAACTGAAGTATACCAATACTGACTTGATATCTCTAAAGTCAAAAGTGGGAATTGCAATTGGGCCTGAGTGTGGAAAAAAAACGTGGCGCAAGTGCAGGATAATGGGCTAATAGAAATTGGAAAAGTGAGCTTAATTGAAACGCAGAGAATAAATCGATTGAATTGATCGGGTAAGGAAGAAGGTCCGAATTCAGCGAAAACAATGGCGAGTGGAGCAGAAGGAGGAGGAGGGGGCAAGGTGTCCTTCAAGATAACACTGACTTCCGATCCAAAGCTTCCTTTCAAAGTGTAAATTGATCTATCTCATACGATTTCGATTTCGATTTCGAATTCTACTCTAAATTTAAATTCAAAGTGTAAATTGATCTATCTCATACGATTTCGGATTCGGATTTTGATAATATAAACAGGTTTAGCGTGCCGGAAGCAGCCCCTTTCACCGCCGTCCTCAAATTCGCCGCCGAGGAGTTTAAGGTCCCTCCTCAGACCAGCGCTATCATCACCAATGGTACTTGTTTCTTTTTTTTATTCACCTATTCAACTCTTTTAGATCTTTCTTTTCTACTACGAGTAGTAATTTTTCATCTGAATCACACAATTCAGTTTTTAGGATAATTTTAGGTTTTTCTTGCTATCTCCAATTAGATTACTTCTCTTTATTTTAGTATCCATTTTGTAGCATCATCATTTGTTCCGGAATGTCTACTGTCCTGGTATATTCATTCATTCATCTTTGCGTTATCAGCCAAACAAGGAAGATTAAGAACCAGGGATAAACTAATCAATTAGATTATGAATCCTGCTATTCCTTTATATTTGGCAGAGATATTGGATTAAATTAAGCATCTAAAATCTTATTAATAAATCATCTTAGTTTTGATTCCCAAGGACAAAGCATTCCATGTCTTTCGTACCTGTCAATTGAGATAAACTCTCTTTAGCTAGTGGGGTGATTGTCATGTTTAATAAGCTCCAAAGAAAATTATAAATTGGGATAATCCATTGTTAGTAGAAAGGGGAAGAGAGATTTGGCACATGAGGTCATATTTTTCTCTAGTGCTTGTTATAAATGTGTGAATTAGACAAAAATAACCACTCTCCTACATTTATTGCCTCACTATTTACCATGATACCAACTATCTGAACTTTTGGAGCTTCATGGTTTGTGCATTGACTTCAGAACTTTTATACCTTGCTATATTCAAACATACGGTTATGGTGGTCCAGGCATACTTTTAATGTTCTCTAGACCAGGTTGTTAGTAGTATATCTATGTATTACTTGATTTTTATTTCTTAAGAGAGAAATAAAATACTGAATCATATACTTGTATATTATATTTAAAAATTCAGCTTACTATGGAAGTTGAATAGTTGAGATGTATTTGGATGCAAAAGGGAACATGTTTTTTTTTTTTTTAACTAGGTTCCATGATGCAGCAGAAATCTAGTGACAGAAATTTGCTCAGAACAGCGTAATAGTACCCTCCTCCAATCCAATTTAATGGATGAGTAGCAGATTGATTAGCTCAGAAGTAATCCAGAAAGAAGGGAAACTTCGAGACTGATAATCAATATGAGAATGATGATAACAATGAGAGAGAGAAAGTAATTAGAGAGAGAAGGGAGTTGTATTAATTTCAGCATAAAGGATTACAACCACTAATTAAGCTTAAATAGCCTTCATTACATGCATTAAACGTGTAAATGAAAATAACAAACTTAATAAAAGGAATCTAGTTTGTTACACTCCCTCCGGCTCAGCATTTCCAGCCTTTAGCTTAATTTCAGCTAATATCAATGGAACACCGACTATATTTCCCTCCAAATGGCTCACACTTGCATCAATGCCTTCCCCTTTGAGAAAATCCTTGACCCCAAGGATTAAAGGAAGCTTCAATAACCTCAGCAAGATGACTAGCATTAGACCACTAAATCAACCACTGGACAATGGCATGATTTCCCCTCTTTATAGAACGCTTGTTCATCATGGCAATTGGGAACCTTAGATTTTCAGAATCATCATTAATGATTCCAGAAGAACCATTAGGTGGGGGTAGGGGTGTTCAAAAAAACTTGACCCGCTCGTCCCGACCCGACTACCCGGATGATAACCGATGGGTATTTTCATACAATATTTCGGGTCGGGTACCCGACCCGGTTAATTCCTCGGGTCACGGGTCGGGACAGGGGCCGGAACTTCAGTTATACGAGTACCCGTCTGACCCGCATCTATTTTTTTGTTCTTTCTGAAATTCAATACCAGTACTATACACAGTGAATATAACCTTTTTCTAAAACTAAAATAGGGTTTACTGATTGCATTTGGAGCCACCTGCCATCTCCTCTTCCTTTCTTTGGTTCAACTTTCTCTCTCTTTCATTTTTCCTCACTCCTCACTATCTCACGGCAGCCTCACCCTTCTTCTCAGACCATTAGTATCTCATGGCTCAACGACGGTAACAACTACTCTGCAAGGTGTGACCACCATCTTCTCCACGATGAGGCGCAGGAATCGCTTCCTTTGAACGAAGGAGGATAATTATCATGCTTGAAATAGAGATCAGAGAAAGTAAATTGCGAGTAAGTTAGATATAAATTTCCGACGGCCGCTCGCTTGATGTGATCTGTACCTCTAAAGCCCAAAAAATATTTCAATTATTTATTTTGGGTTCAGTTGGACAATTATAATTATAATTATCAATTTGAGTTGATTTTATTAGTTTTTTTACATATTAATTAATTGTGGTTTTGTAATTCATGAGGGTGTAAAAGTTTGAGATTCATATTTGATTTTGATTGTGGTTGATTTTTTGGCTTTTTATGTGATTTAATTATTGGAGTAATTTATAATTAGCTTGTGATTTTTAGAAGATGGAAGAAAAGGGTACTTTTTTTTTAAACAATATAATCGGGTACCCTGTGACCCGACCCGAGAAAATCGGGTACCCGAAACCCGGGTACCCGATCTTTTCGGGTCGGGACATGGGTCGCGTTTCTAAATACCCGAAGATCAGGGTACCCGGGTTTTCGGTTACATGAAAAGTAGGGTGGATCTTCGAAGATGCAGGAAGTTGGAGGGTGTAAGCCACCTTTCCCACCTTCTTGATTATGTGATAGGGACCAAAGTACCCAACTTCTGTTTTCCCCTGCAAACTGTTGTCTATAGGGTTGTAACTTCAAGTACACCCAATCACCCATAGCAAATGACCTTTCACTTCTATGTTTATCGGCCTGTTGCTTCATCCTGTGCTGTTCTTTCAGCAGATGCTCTTTAATCATGGATAAAGCCTCTTCCCTGTGCTGCAAACTTGTGTCTACACTGTGAATCCTGCTCATCCCTTTTAAATAAGGAACATGAATAGGGGGGTTTGACCATACAAAATCTCATAAGGAGTGGACAGAGTGATAGGATGTACTGTACCAAAATTCAGCTAATGGCAGCCACCTAGTATGTCTCCAAAGACCTGCTCAAAACCTCTGACCATCATGAGGATGGTAAGAGGTAGACAATGGATTTTGGGAATCCATGTAATTTATAAACATTGTCTAGGTAAGCTTAAGCCAATTTCAAAGCTGAGTAAGGGTGAGACAAAGCTATGAAATGATCATATTTGCTCAGTCTATCTATCACTACCAGAATCACTTCTTTGCCAAGTGATTTGGGTAGACCTTCAATGAAGTCCATGGTGACCTCCTCCCTATCAGGTATGGGTAAAGGTTGTAGTAAGCCAGGATAAGCACTGGGGTCATATTTACACCTTTGACACACATCACACTGTCTAATATATGCTATATGCTGTCACACTCTTCTTCAAACGAGTAGAATAAGCTCTTCACCCTTCTTAGTGTAGCTTGAATTCCAGAATATCCTTGTAGAGCACAATTATGCAACCAAAGTAGGATTTTATTCCTCAGTTCAGGTATAAATCCCACCACCAGCCTGCCCTTTCTTGTTAACTGATCATTTTGCCATTTATAATGCTTGTGAGAATCTGGATTAGCTACCAGATCAGAAATGATCTTCTATAGGTTAGGGTAATCCTACCAACCTGTTTGAATTTCTTCCAAGAGTGAAGAATTGATTGTAGTAGCAATCATAGTCATCACTTGAGAATGAGATATCCTAGAGAGGGAATCTGCTAATTTATTTTCACTTCCGTGCTTTTTTTCCAATCACATAGTCCATGCCACCTGCAGCTAGGGGTGCTCATAACCGGGTACTCAGGTTTTTGGGTACTCGGAAGTGCGGGTACCCGAAAGTGCGGGTAGTTATTTAGACGACCCATTACCCAACCCGCTAAAAGTGGGTACCCTCTTATCGGGTACCCGAAATTTTAATATATATGGTTTTTTTTTTTTACTTAAACCTGCTGATTTTATTAAAAAAATTAACTTTTTTCATTAAAAACAAAAAGCGATGTTTTTATCTATTAAAAGAACTTGCTGATTTCATAAAAAAAAAAAAAAAACTGATATTTTATTTTTAAAAAAGCTGATGTTTTCACAAATTCATAGTGAACCTGCTTCCACCAACAAACTAGCAAAATCATATTAAAAACTTGCTTCCACCAAAAAAATAACCTGCCGGCTGCTGCAATGCTTCCCTATATGGCTATATGGGGCTATATCTGTATCTGTACACCTGTTTTAGTACAAATATTCTCATAACTTAAACAAAATTCTGTTTTAAAGTACAAAATGCAAACCAAAGTTCAAAGTGTCTGGAATGCACTAGCCATAGAGTTTAAAGAGTCTACATCAAATTAAAACAACGAAACAACCAAATTAATTACAAAGTCCAAACGATATCTTAAAGCCACAAATCACACTAAATGGGAGAGGGGATAATTTCAAGTCACATCCGAAGCTTCAATAGTTTCATCAATGATAATTGTTGGTTGCTCTGAAACCAAGTCTTTAATCCCTACAAAAGATAAATCATTAAAAAAAACATAAATCAATTGTAGAATATCACAAAGGATAAAAAGCAAGTAATAGATTAAGTTATAATCACCTTATTCTTCCATAATCTCCAACTCAAGCAAGCTTTCCTCAATAGCAATAGGGGTATTAGAATGACACATCCAATCTTGGCCACAAACAAGGGCTTCCACCATTTTAGAACTTAGAGAAGTGCAAAAGGAATCCAAGACACGCCCCCGTGCTAAAAGCGGACTCCGAAGCAACAGAAGAAACTGGAATTGCTAGAATGTCATGAGCCATTGTCATAAGAATTGGATATGTTTTTCCTTGTGCACTCCACCATGCCAAAATATCAAAATCTCCATTATAAGGCTCTAGTTTATCCCCTAAATACTTCTCTAATTCGGTGATTCCTTTGGAACCATCTTCATTACCACTCTCCCTCACAAAGCTATTCCTCAATCGAGATGCATTAAGAAGACCCCTTTGTTGTTCCATCTCACCCCTTTCACCATGAATAATAGGCACACTAGAAGAAGATGGTCTCACTTTGTTTGCATAACAATCAATAATGAGTTCAATG